CAGGAGGTCTCTGATGGAAGCCGAGATCCTTCATCTACTCTCCATCCAGGCAATAAAACCGGTGCCTGTCTCGCAGAAGGGTCTCGGTTTCTACTCGATCCTCTTCTGGTCCCCAAGACATCGGGGGGTTGCAGGGGAATACTAGATCACAAAAAAAAAAAAGACTCAACAAACACATCAAATACAAGAGATTCAAGATGCAATCCTTAACCTCTATTCTAAATTGCATCAGACAGGGGGATCTGCTTACATCCATAGATCTAAAGGAAGCCTACCTGCACATACCAATTCGGATTTCACACAGGAAATATCTCAGATTCTGTTACGCAGGGCAACACTTCCAATACAGGGCCCTTCCATTCGGCCTGTCCTCTGCTCCCAGGACGTTCACAAGCTCCTGGACATGGTGGCAGCCCATCTGCGGGCTCGCCCAATCAGGCTTCAATGTTACCAAGACGACATTTTGATTCAATCTTCATCCATCAGGCAGGCGAGACAGGATTTGTCAGAGACTATTCAGGCTCTGCAACTTCACGGGTTTTCAATAAATCTAGAAAAGAGCCAGTTAATTCCATCCCATTCTATCCATCATTTAGGTGTCCGGATAGACACAGTCAGTTGCCAGGTTTTTCTATCACCAGAACGTCTAGTCAGCATACGGGCCTTGATACATCGGGTCAGGTCAGCCAGGTCTGTCTCCCTCGCAGTATTGTCCCAGTTACTAGGGAAAATGATTTCATGTCTGGCCATCGTTCCTTGGGCGAGGTTACATTCCCGAACCTTACAATGGTTCCTCCTACCGAGCCAACGAGCAGGCATCAGTCACTCCACAACAAGAGTCAGAATGCCTCCAAAAGTTCTCCACTCCCTGAACTGGTGGACGTCACCTTCTCTAGAGAAAGGCTATCTCTTCAAGGAACCGCCACGTCTAACACTAACTTCAGATGCCAGTCTATTCGGCCGGGGGGCTCACCTGGGTTCCAAGATGGCACAGGGCAGATAGTCCCCAGAGGATCTGTTACACGACATAAATTGGTTGGAATTCAGAGCTGCCCACCTAGCTCTCCGTCATTTCCACCTCTAACCAACCGTCACGTGTTGCTGTTAACCGACAATGTGACCGCCAAGGCACATGTGAACAGGCAGGGAGGCACCTGGTCCAAGGACCTGATGTCCGAAGCAGCGAGCCTCGGCGTCTGGGCAGAATCACACCAGACTTGTTTCACCAACTGACGACCAGGTTCAGCCAACCATGCGTGATCTGTTGGCAACACCAAAGAACACTCACCTACCACAGTTCTTTTCCAGATTTCCGACGCCGGGGGCAGAAGCAACAGACGCCCTTTGGGCGCCCTGGCCTCGAGGCCTTCTATATGCATTTCCTCCGACACCTCTACTACCAAGGGTCATCCAGAAGCTTCTGGATGAGCAGGCAGAAATTCTGTTGGTGGCTCCGCAGTGGCCCAGAAGGTTTTGGTTTGCGGATCTGGTGTCACTGTCAGTGTCCCGCCCGTGGAGGATTCCACCAGACAGGATTGTCCTAAGCCAGGGAGCAGTTCAACATCCCGAGCCGCAGTGGCTCCAACTGGCCGTCTGGCGATTGAGCGAGAAATCCTGAGGGACTCCAGATTCTCAAGCGAGGTCATTTCCATCATCCAGGCATCTCGTTATCCGTCTACCACCAGGATTTACGATGCCACTTGGTCAACCTTCTCTAGCTGGTGCCGAAAATCGCACATTCCTTCCAGGGCAGCTTCTCTTCCGGACGTCTTGAATTTCCTACACTCAGGATTCAAACGGGGGCTTACTGCCAACACGCTCTGCAGACAGGTGGCCGCCTTAGCGACTATTCTACAGGGAGAGGTTCCTGTCTCTCTTTCTCAACACCCCAAGTTGAGGAGTTTTCTTCGGGGAGTTGCTAACTTACGGCCTCCTCCAGTCCATAGGTATCTTTCCTGGGACTTGCCTCTTGTTCTGCAAGCACTTACATCTGCTCCGTTCGAGCCCTTAGGATCCGCCAGCCTCAGAATACTTACCTTGAAGGTCACCTTCTTGATAGCAATCACATCTGTGAGAAGGATCTCCGAACTGTCGGCACTGTCGGTACGTGGAGATCTATGCATCTTTTACTCCGACAGGGTGGTCCTCAGGTTGGACCCGACTTTCGTACCAAAAGTCAACTCTTGGTTTCACAGGGCACAGGAGGTGGTTTTACCTAACTTTTGCCCTGACCCAGGACATCCTAGAGAACGACGTTGGCACACGCTCGACGTTCGTAGGGCACTCCGGAAATATATTGACAGGACCACATCATTCAGGCAGTCTGAATCACTATTTGTATCATTCCAGCCTACTGCCATGGGGAAGAAAGTTACCCCATCTACAATTGCGAGATGGTTCGAAGCTTGCATTGCAATGGCTTACGAACACCAATCTACTCCAGTGCCTAGAAACATCACTGCGCATTCAACTCGTAGCGGTGCCACCACGGCGGCCTGTGCTACTCAGGCTTCCATATGGAGATCTGCAGGGCTGCAACTTGGGCTTCTCCCACTACCTTTATCAGACATTACAAGTTGGACCTTTTGCCTCAGCTGAGGCTTCGTTTGGCAGAAGAGTCCTGCAGCAGGTTCTACCAGGAGAATGACACCTGGACCGCTCGGACTCCCGCCCTAGGGATACTTAGCTTGGGTATATCCCATTGCTTGGACTCTCCAAGCAGCGCACAGGAGATTGAACATTGGAGCTTACCTGAATGTTCGATCTATGTGCGCTGCAGGAGAGTCCAACCCCGCCCTACTGTAGCGGTCCAGCATCCAACACTTACTTATAGTGGACATTCTTCTATCATCTTGCTACGTCTTCTACAGACCTCTTCGTCGAAACACTGAAGGCTCATGGAAAAAGAGGCGTGGCTAGGCAAATTCAACTCAGTCTCTGGCCAACCAGGCTAAACTTGAACCCATTGCTTGGACTCTCCTGCAGCGCACATAGATCGAACATTCAGGTAAGCTCCAATGTTCATTCTTTTGTTTTCTACAAGTTTACAGATCTGATCAATTACCACACATAAAATAAAAGAATATCACTTCTTTTCTCAGATGTACAATATATACAATATAAAAGCTGTGCCCTTGACTAATTGCTGCTATAGGAACAAAAACAGAGCTCCAGTATGATTCATGGAGGACAATTTTTAAAGGCCAATTTTTCCATGTGCAGTAAACCAAAAATATGTAATTTAAATACAACTTGATTTTTCAAGGATTTGTGGTTTTTCTATTTTAGCAGTATATATTATATTAATTCAAACAGCAATTGGCAGAAGAAAGCTCAAGATGGTTGGAAACATGAGGAAGACATCTTCATCATACAGTGGATAGACAATGGCTAGAATGATGATGATGATTATATTCATTCATTCCTACACATCACATTTAGGTTGCAGTCCTTTGCATATTTGCTTATCAGGAAGCCCACATTAAGCAATAAATTTCACTGGCAAACTGCAACGAGTGATTTATCACTACATCCCTCCCCCCCCAAAAAAATCAAACATTGGTTTAATATCTATAGCCTGCCAATGAGACTTGCTTTTGAAAGAATTTTAGTCATGGGTAGCATAGAAAAGGAGAATGTAATTTTTTTCTAGTCACCCCATCATGAAATCTCATGCTTAAAAATATCATTGTGTTATGAAAAGTGATTAAGTTTTTTAAGCTTCAAAAAAATCATTCATGTTTTAGTCACCTCATGTCCGGATTACTGTGGTGCATTGTATATGGGGTTCCACTTGAAGACCATCTGGAAGACCCAGCTATTCCAAAATACAACTCTGCTGCAAGCTGCAATGGGTACCAATTAGCTTCAGTTACAATTCAAGGTAGCGGCTATCGCTTTTAAAGCCCTTCATGGCATAGGAACTGGTATTGGAAGGACCGCTTATTTCAACTTGTCAGGATGGGTGCATTTTGGGTCCTGTCAATAATGTTGCCTTATGCCTTACAGGAAGTACCTGTACTCACTTGGACTCAGTTGGACTCCGGAATGATTTCCAGCCTGAGATGGATGTGGTACCCACCTTCATGTCATTAAGAAAACTTTTAAGACCGGTTGTTCTTCCAGGCCTTGGGATAGGGTGGTTATAGAGCTCTATATTTCTGAGGAAAGTTTTTCTGGTTTATCTCTAGTCAATGTTTTGTTCTTCGAGTCAGTTGTGATCAGAAGTGTGGTGGCACAGTGGTTAGAATGTAGTATTGCAGGCTAATTCTACCCACTGCCAGGAGTTCGATTCTGACTGGCTCAAAGTTGACTCAGCCTTCCATCATTCCGAGGTCAGTAAAATGATGACCCAGAGGGCAATATGCTGACATTTATAAACCATTCAGAGAGTACTGTAAAGCACTGTGGAGTGGTATATAAGTCTAAGTGCTATTGCTATTTTATATGTTTGGATTTTTTAACTGTAAATTGCCTAGAATTCTTCAGGAATTGGATAGCCTTAAAGTTTGGGGACATAAATAAATAAATGATTTAAATATAATTAAGAAACATAACATTTTAAAATTTACAAAGCCATTTAGGAATAGTTGTCAACTTTAGGTTTTATATACTTCTAGGTGCATAAAGCTTAATATAATTATGTATAAAATATTATTGGTTTTTATTTTTCAGTTAATAATTCAGTAAATGGGCGTTGTACTTACCTGATACGCCTCTTCTCTGTCCTGGCGCCACGGCAGTCATGCCTGGGTAGTGACACGGCTGTTATCCAATGACCGAGTCTTCTGGAATCTTTAGCACCGCCCCTTCCTGCTATGATCCAGTTTTGAGGCGAGGCTGTCCAGAAGACCGGACCGGAGTGTCTGTAGAAACAAAATAAAAAGGTAACAAATTCCCACCCCCGGAACCCAGGGACGGCCGGAACGGGTGGGGCTGACTGCCGTGGGCGCCAGGACAGAGAAGAGGCGTATCAGGTAAGTACAACGCCCATTCTCCTGCAGGGCGCCCACGGCAGTCATGCCTGGGACATACCAAAGCATGATGTCTCCTAGGGAGGGAGAGGCCGGACCTGCTGCAGAACTCTCCTGCCGAATGCTGCGTCTGCCGAGGCGTAGACATCCAGGCGGTAGTGCCGAATGAAAGGAGAGACAGACGACCAAGTAGCGGCCCGGCAAATCTCGTCCAAAGGCGCCTGCGTGGACCAGGCAGCGGAGGTGGAGGCGCTCCGTGTAGAGTGAGCCGTAATATTCGGAGGTACCGGCAGCGACTGTGCCTCGTAGGCCAGCGCAATGGTAGCTCTGATCCACCGTCCAATGGTAACAGAGGAGACACGGGAACCCATAGTTGCAGGTTGAAAGGAGAGGAAGAGGGCCTCTGACCTCCGGAAAGTGGCCGTACGAGCCACATAGATTTTGAGAGCCCTGCGGACATCCAGCTTATGCCATAGGAACTCCTGGGGACGGCGAGGGGAAGGGCAGAAGTTAGGAAGTGTAAGCTCTTGCGACCGGTGAAAAATGGTGTTGATCTTTGGCACAAATGCAGGGTCGAGGCGAAGAACTACCCTGTCTGTATGGAAAATGCAGAGGTCAGAGCGGACTGACAGAGCAGCGAGTTCAGAAATCCGCCTAGCGGAGGTTACTGCAACCAGGAACGAAACTTTGAACGACAAAAACTTCAGACCAACTTCCCGTAAGGGTTCAAACGGAGGACCCGTTAAGGCACTAAGAACTTTGTTCAGATCCCAAGAAGGGAACCGGTGAACCGTGGGAGGACGGAGATTGGTAGCACCTCTCAAAAAGGATCGAATGAGAGGATCAGCAGAAATGGGCGAGGAGGACGAACATGACAGAATTGATGATAAGGCGGCCACCTGTCTCCGTAGGGTGTTAGGAGCTAGACCCGCAATGTAGCCCTGGTGAAGGAAGTCCAGCAGATGAGGGATAGTCACGTCCATAGGAGAGATCCCTTTCTTGTGACACCAGGATGAAAACACGCGCCAGGTGGAGCCGTAGATCCGGAGCGTCGATGGACGGCGGGCGGCCTGGATGATGGGAATAGCGTCCGGGGGAACCTGGGCCTTCGCTAAGAGGAGCCGCTCAGCCGCCATGCGGTCAGTTGGTAGGACCGGGGATCCGGATGGAGCAGGGGGCGTTGGTGGAGCGTTATCCGATCGTCGGGAATCCTCCAGTGGGGAGTTACTGACAGGCCCAGAAGATCGGCAAACCACGGTTGGCGAGGCCAGTGTGGGGCCAAAAGGAGAATCTCCGCTCGCTCCGCTACGATCTTTCGCACGACCTTGGAAATTAGGGGTAGAGGAGGAAAAGCGTAGAGCAGTTGATTCTGCGGCCAAGGACTTCGGAGTGCATCCACCGCCTCCGCTCCCTGACATGGAAACCGAGAGAAGAAGCGGGGAAGCTGCTGGTTGCCGGGGGCCGCAAACAGGTCCATTGACGGGAGGCCGAACCGGGTGCACAGATCTTCGAACCAGAGGGGATGCAGGCTCCATTCGGCCGGATCGATGAGGGAGCGACTGAGAGAGTCCGCTTGAGTGTTGGCAGATCCGGATATGTGCTCGGCCCGAAGCGACGACAGATGGGTCTCCGCCCAGAGCCCCAGCCGAAGAGATTCCGCCATGAGGGACCGAGACCGAGTCCCCCCTTGTCGGTTGACATGAGCCTTGGCCGAGACATTGTCCGTCAGGATGAGGACGTCCCGACCCAGGACATGAGGCTCGAATTCGAGGAGGGCTAGACGAATAGCTCGCAATTCTAGAAGGTTGATATTCATGGCTCGTTCTGCTTGAGACCAGAGACCCTGAGCCAGGTGCGAGTCGAGATGAGCCCCCCAGCCCGAGAGGCTGGCATCTGTAGTGACCACAATCCTGTGCTGGTCTCCGAACGAAGAGCCCAGGGAAATGGCCGACGACATCCACCAACGTAGAGAGTCTAGAACCGGTGGAGGAAGGACAATTCTGGAGGCCGAGGTGTTGGTGAAGCGCCTTTGGTAAGGAAGAAGCAGCCACTGCAGCTCCCTGCTTTGGAGGCGAGACCACGGCACAATGTCGTAAGTGGAAACCATCTTACCCAAGAGGCTAGAGAGATCCAGGAGAGAGGCGGAGCCCCGCCTCCGAAACTTGGAAGCCATGACGGAGAGACTAGCCTGGCGCTCGGGTGACAGGGTAACTTGGAGACAGGTTGAATTAATAACCGCCCCTAGGTGTTGTAAGGATGTAGAAGGTGATAGATGGCTCTTGGACCAATTAATGGAAAAGCCATGCTTTTGTAAGGTGGAGACGACCAAGGCAACATCCTCTCGGGCCGAAGGTAGAGACTTAGAGAGGATGAGGATGTCATCCAAGTAAAAAAGTATGCGAATGGGGATAGAACTAATGTGGGCCATTAGGGCTGCCATAACCTTAGTAAATACCCTAGGGGCAGAGGAAAGGCCAAAGGGCAAGGCAGCATATTGAAAATGCTGACCGTTATACGAAAACCTGAGGTACTTGCGATGGGCCGGGAAAATGGGGATGTGGAGGTAGGCCTCCGTTAAGTCAATGGAGGACATAAGGTCATCCTTCCTAATACAGAGCAGAATAGTGTGGAGTGACTGCATTTTAAAACGGCGGTATCTAATGTGCCGATTGAGAGATTTTAAATCAAGGATAGCCCTCCAATCCCCTGATGTTTTGGGGACCAAAAATAGGCGGGAGTAAAAACCCCGGCCACGTTCGTGGGAAGGTACAGGCTGAATGGCCTTGATGGCGAGAAGATGGTGGATGGCCTGAGAAAACCTAGCCCTTTTAACAGGGTCCAGAGATACGGGGCAACGGAAATAGTGATTGGGAGGGGAAGACTGAAATTCGAGCTTAAGGCCTAATTTAACTGTGTCCCTGACCCAGGAGTCAGAAACCGATAAATCCCACTGGTTGGAAAAATGGGATAATCTACCTCCAATAGAGGAAGCTGGTAGATCTCTAGCGGAACCTTCTAAAGGGGCGACCCCTCCCGCCACGATATGAGGACCTCGATGTAAACCGGGGTCCCTGTCTGACCTGGTCTCCGGAAGGTTGTGAAGGTCTGGAGGAGAAGGAACGGTGAGAGCGGTGCTGGAAGAAGTTGGGATCGGAGCCTCGAAAGGAAGAACGACGAAAGGAGCCCTGAGGTCGGGTCTCAGAACGACGAGACGCAGAAGGAAGGATCTTACGGTGGTCCTTTGTCTCGATTAACAGTGGATCCAGCGGGGAACCGAATAACTTGTCGGCTGCATAAGGAGACGAAGCGAGACGCCACTTATTCCTGGCGTCCGCCTGCCAATTCCGGAGCCATAGGAGGCGTCTCGACGTGATGGAAGTGCCGATGGCCTTGGCTGAGAATCTGGCCGCATTAAGCGTAGCATCTGCGGAGAACTCGGTTGCTGCAATTATTTTATTTATATCTTGATGGGCACGATGGTCGGAAGCCGGAAGACGGTCTTGCAGCTGGCGTAACCACAGGATAGAGGCCCTGTTAAAGAACGATGCAGCGGAGGAAGCTTGGATGGACCAAGCTGATGCTTGGTGGCCTTTGATGAGGGTTCTTTCAGCCTTCTTCTCTTCAGGCCGCAAATATTCCTCCGAAGGTCCCGTTGGGAGAGAGGTAGAAGATAAAGCCACAACTGGAGTATCGACAACTGGAACTTGTAGCAGATCGGAAAAATCTGAAGCCATGTTGTAGAACTTACGGTCCAAGTTGTTAGGAATCGGACCGGTGCTGGGAGAAGACCACTGGCGTTTTAAGACTTCCGAAAAAAGTTTGGGAGCCGGAATAGTATCCGATTGCACCTTGGGTTCCTGAAAAAGGACAGATGTAGGATCAGCTGGCCCAGGAGGGTTGGAAGAAGAAGAAGTCTCAATGCCGAGTCGGGTGGTGATCTTGGCTTTGTACAGTAAAGATCGAAACATGTGGGGCTTGAAGAGGCCCACAAAGGCTGGCTGGTCTGGCTCAAGCCCTTCGTCTTCTGACAGGTCTTGCTCAGGCAATTCCCCTTCTTCTGACACCGAATCCTGACTAGCGGAGTCGTGATCAGAGACCTCAGCGACAGATTCCTCATTAGAATGGGGGGCAGGAGACCGAGAGATGGCCCTATCCGATCTCTTAGGAGCCGCCGAAACCTGAGCCAGAGCAGGATGTTGCTGGAGGCCTTGAGCAATGCCCTGGCAAATGGCTTCCGAGATAAGATCGGCCAGGGATGACCGCATATCAGGGGGCAAATCGTGAGGCCCAAGAGAAACCTGAGGTCCAGTAGAAGGAGAAGGTGAGGCAGGAGGGACCTGAACAGGATCTGGGGAGCACTGGGCCTGGTCTTGGTTGTGGGCCTGGTCTTGGTTGTGCCCAGTGTCAGAAGGAAAAACCGAAGCCACCTCAGCTGTATCTATGACATCACCTTGGACAGACCTGTCAGGAGACAAGGCCCTAGAAATTCCAGATTGTTCAGGGTGATCAGAAGGAGGAGCTGTAGAGGAGCCTTGAACAGCCTTGGAATGAGCCCTCTCGAAGGCCTTCTCCATGGCCTTGTGGCGCCTGTCCTCGTCTCTGGAGCTGGCAGAGGATTTATGGGGGGCCGAGGATTGGGGGGCTGGGGCCCTGATCTTGCTTCTGTGGCCCGTGGAGGTACCCTCCCCAGGGTCCTCCTGCTGGCGGCGTTTTCCTCTGCCCTTAGATTTGGGTCTGTCAGCCATCTCGTCCCAAATCTCTCTTAAAATGGCGCCCAATGAGTTCTAAGCCCCAAGGGAATAACCCTTCTTCTCGCTAGCCTTACGGCTTGTGCGCGAGAACTATTAGGCGCGGAATGTAACTTCGCGCTAACCAGGACCACAGGCGGAAGATAGGGCCGTCAGTACCTGGATGCCGCTGTTGGAAGGCGAGGTGGCTGCCTGGTTGAGGCAAAAAGGCGCGAAAAAGCAAGCCGCGCCTGTCCGCTGAGGTGTAGATCGCCCCGGGGATAAGAAGCTAGCCGGCTCCGAAGCGGCGAAAAAAAGCGGCGCGGAATCCCTTCTCGCGCCTCTCAGCTGTTCGAATCGGCGGGAATTTCAAAGGGCGCGCCGATCCAGGCCGATAGAAGAGGCGCTGCTGCTGAGCGCTCCAGCCCCCGTTTCCAAGCCGAATGGGGCAGCAACGCGGCGGAGCAAGCTAGGCGAGCTCGTGCGCGTGGGTGGAAACCCGGCAGTTTCAAAGGCAGCTCCGCTATTGCGATCTCAATCCAGGTGGTGAAATTAGAACAAAGTTTTTGCAGAGGCTTTGGAGAAGCTACAGACACGACTGTTATGGAACAGACCGAGTCGAAAAACTGGATCATAGCAGGAAGGGGCGGTGCTAAAGATTCCAGAAGACTCGGTCATTGGATAACAGCCGTGTCACTACCCAGGCATGACTGCCGTGGGCGCCCTGCAGGAGAACTATTAAAACAAATAGTGAGAATTCAATGCTCTCTGCCCTAAATCAGAATATCTATTGGAATACTGCTTTTAGAATTGTATCTTTCTTTAACTTATTTCTTATAACAGCATACCCTATGGAACTATATATTTTTTAAAATCCTGCTGAGTTGTGATTAGGAGCAGTTATTTTGTATTCAGGAAGAAAAAATGTGGTCACTTTTTTTTTAACTTGAAACTTCACATCATTTGTATTTGGTTTGTGTATGTATGAATTTACAATTCCAGCATTTTATGGTAAATGACATGCAGAATTGCAACCTTTCAGAGTTTATAAAAAAGTGAACAGATGATTGGTTTGACTCTTGCCCTCACACATTCAGAAAATGGCAAATATTATCTAAATATTATCTAAGATAAAGAAGATATAATTTCTAAGTTAGATCCTCCCACAACCCTTGTGTGTCTGTATTATGTGTATGTGTTTACTCTCTGTCTCTCCTTAAAAATTGGCTCTATTTCAGCAAAAGACAAATCTTTTTTTAACTTTCTAGTAAACTTGAAAAGCTTTTTAAATGTTCTAGTAAACTTGAAAAGCTTTTTAAATGTAAGATTCCCTAAAACTTTGAGAAGAGCAGTGCATTTCATATGATAATTAGTCATGGAAAAATAAAGACATTTATTTAATAAAATAGAAAAAGAAAGAAGAAAAATATCTTTGTTGACTTTTTCTACTTGGTTAAAAACTCATAAAATTCTGCTATAGGTTTTCTGCTGTAATGATTTTCATTGGAATATGATAAATAAAGTTTTCTTTTGTGTACTTTTGTAATTACCTGCATTTCAAGAGACAATGAAAAGTCACAAAAGCAGAATACCTGTACAGTATTATTTCTCCTAGGCTATCAGAAGCAGATTAAGATCTTCTCACTTGCTTGACTAGATTCAGTTGATAGATACAAGATTACAGTAAAAGTTGCTGTCAAGCACCAGGGAAATCAGGAGATTCAAGCAATTCAAATGAGTACAAAGTTTTATTGCAAGTTTAAGTTCTCTACAAAAATCTGATCAACTAATCCTTTACAAAAATCTGACCAACTCCTAACAGCAGAAAACCTATAGCAAAATTTTATGAATATTTGACCAAGTGGGAAAAGTCAAGAAAGATATTTTTTCTTCTTTCTTTTTCTATTTTGTTAAATAAATGACTTTATTTTTCCATGACTAATGTGCGGGAGATAAGATAGGTATTCAAGATTGACTGGACTTAGATCTCTTGCAGGCGTGCAGAGACTCATGATTTATGACACATTTCACGCCTCCCTCAGGCTCAGTCCGGTCATCTCCTATAGTTGCAATTGTTTGATTTAAACTATTGGCTAGAATGGAAACAGTGCAATAGAAGCAGTTATTTATTTTTTTTAAGTGTGAATTTGTGACATCTACTGTATAGCAATGTCAAAATAGTATGTATTTTAATATTTTTAAAATTATATTTGAAATATATTAATTGTAATAGTCATTAATTAATAATTGTTTGTATTCTGTTTTTAAAAAGAAAGAAATGCCTGGATACCTTATGAAGGAAGAAAACACCATGACTTATTTTGAAGCTATACAATAGAAAAAAACTATAGCTCATTAATTTTGGCAGGACAAAAACTGTTTTAAATAGCAGCAACCAAGAGTGATAGACCTATAAGTTTTGGGAGCATGGGGGAAAGGAGGATCATGCCCTTGCCTCTGTAGCATTGACCACTCAAAATCTCTTTCCCCTTCACTATTCAAAGTGCTTTTTGGTAAAGAAAGAAATGTATTGTTATTGCCAGTAGAATGAGGTATAGGTTTTGCAAAATCACTGTATTGGAAGAAAAAAAACTTTTTTTTACTGTATTGTTCTCTGAGTGACTACTGTTTATAATTTTAAAAACAGCATAATATCGTTTTTACATAGTAGTTTGTAGTTTCCTTTTTAAACTGAGAACTAGTTATTCACTTACCTTCACAGCTAGTGGTCATATTGGCTGGGAATTCTGAGAATTGAAATTGAGTTGAGAATTGAATTTAAATTGATTTAAACTGAAGTGTATACTTTTTATTCTCCATTGTGGGTGGAGACAGCAGCCAGGATGGGGTGTGGTCATCTGTTAGGCCGATAGACTGAGCCCATCAAATTTGCTAAGTCCCGCCCTTGTTACCGGGCAAACCCAGCTTTTGGCTCAGTCTGTCAGCCTAGACAGGCGTGTGGGACTGATCCTCTTTTTTTTTTTTTTATTGAAAAAGTTTTCAAATACAAATTTCCCCCCCCTTTTTTCCCCCCTCTCCCTCCCCCTCCCTAACCCCCCCTCCCCACCCATCCCCCCCGTGACTTCTTCATAACAAAAAAAAAACCTAATTCATAACAGATTACTTACTCCCTCCTCTAGATATTAACCTTTACTTACTAAAAATATTATTAATATTATAACATCCCCCTTTATCCATACATATCAAAAAAGAGAAAAGAAAGGAAAAAAAAAGACATTATACTATGACATTATAAAATAACTTCTCCACTTTAAAACTATACGATAAGTCCTACTTTAACATTTAATCTTCTATATATATTACTATAACATTCCAAAGCGGCCTTCCCCATAAAATCTAGTTTAACATTTATTCCACTCTATCCATTTCCTCCACTCCCCTAAATATAACACTTAAAAATCCCTTTTCTTAGACTAATCAATCTACTAAATAGCTTATTCACCCACTATCATGCAAAATTGCCATACACAACATTTCTTAACATCTTTAATTCACTGCCCACACTTCTTAAAAATATATGTCTATATTTTCCATTATATCTAAATAAAAAAAAAGAAAAGACAATGACTTTAAATTTATAATCCATATAGTATCTTCTTTGAGGTCTTTCCACTGAATTGGTAGAACCAACATCCATAATCGGTAACATAGCTTACTGGTGCAACAGTTTATTCAGGATCTTCAATCATATCTGCCCCCATCAGTAGTAAATATCTTCTTATATGTATAAAAGTAAAAACAACCACCCGAGTGACATTATAATTATATTCCATATAGTAATAATTGTGGGTTTCATCAGGATTATTAATTCCCATCATCGTAGTGGGTAACAACCCGATCTTCTGCATGCCCCAGCATAATTCTCTTGCCTTGTGATTCAAGATAATATAATATGTTTATCAACACAAAAAGAAATTCCAAAATGGATAATTCAAATCCATCAGTTTAAGGCTCGTTTCACGTCCCCAGATTATGGCCATGCAGAGATCTGCCACAAACCTCAGGATGATATTAACCAATACGTCGCCTCTTCTGTGTTTACACATAATCGTTCATATTTTAAAATCACTGGCTTCACTGTTGCCTGATTAGAAATTTCTGTTTTTATGCCACCTATTTCTTTTTTTCTTTTCTTTTTGTGGGTTTGGTTTCCATCCTGGTTCCCTTTCTATAAAGTGTGTATCATCTGGTCGGTTTTTATTCTGCTTTGTAGATTGGTCTTGTTGGTTTTGCTTTTGTATCTCATATTTCTTTTTTATCCCTTGTATATCCCCTAATTGGTTTCCATGTTTATCCTTGCCTTGATAAGTCATCACATTAAGATTAGATGCCTCTTCTCTCAAATTTGTAGATAGTCCAGCTGGGGTATCCAATAAATCCAAAGGCAATTCATCTGGTACAGTCTCTGTAATTCGATATTTTACCTTTATTTCCGGCTCCTTCTGCTTATCCTGTATTATACCTGGAGATGTTAAGTTCATTTTCAACCTATTTTGATAAAATTCTTCCGCTCTTTCAACAGTATTTAGCTGATATCTTTCTCCTTGGTATCTAAATATAATATCCACTGGGGCGTCCCACGTGTAGGAGATATTTCTCTTTTTTAACTCATTCACCAGAAAACCAAATTTCTTCCTTTCCATCAATATCTTAGGTGGGAGTTCCTTGTAAATCCAAATCTTTCTTCCATACAATTGCAAATTAGAATTGAAGGAGTTTTGAACGATATTATTCCTAATCTCCTTATCTGTAAAATAAATCACCACATCTCTAGGCCATTGCCTTTGCTTAGCAATCCAGGAGTTGATTCGATAAACTCTGTCGATCCTACAAAACACTTCGTCAGGTTGAACTTTTAGAATCCCAGCTAGAAATTCAGAAGATATTTTCCTTAAATCATCTCTATTATTTTCCTGCAAACCTCTTAATCTTATTGCATATTCTGTAAAATTATATTGTACCATTAGAATCTCTTTTTCAATCTTCTGTTGCAGATTTTCTGCATTACCATACTTTTGATCAGCATCCATTTTAGGTTTTTCTTCTAAGCTATTATCCTGAGTGTTTGTCAAATCATTTTCAATTTTTTGAATTCTATTGTCCAATTTATCTTGAATTTCTTCCATTTTAGACTCTAGTACATTAGTATTTGCGTCCAACTGTTTCATAAATCCTGTAAAACCATTAACCACTTTTGAGAGTTTTTTCTCCAAAAAATCAAACTTAGATTTCACCAATTCTTTAATTTCCTGCTTAAATTTTTCAAATTGCTGATTCACAATCTCCTCCCTTCTTTCAATCTCCTCTATAAAAAATTCTATTATATTAAAGTCAGGTTTCTGAGACTGAAGAATTAAGACTTGTTCCTTTAAGTTGTTGGTGGGGGGATCCCCCCCTTCTTGTTTATCTGACTTTATGAGTCTCAGTGCCATGTTTCCGCCCAGGCAGGCTTTGTTAAAAAAAAAAGCAAGAAAGAAAAAAAAAAGGGACTTCTTTCCAATCAACAACAATATCAGGTCTCCAAGGGAAAAAAAAAGAGAAAAAGACACAGGAGCAAAGTTTTGTCTACAAATGTAGCCAGTGGTATTTATTCCGCTACATTGTAATAATAGAAAACGGAAAGACTTTCCTTTCAGCCTCTCCTCCAGCCAACGCCATTTTAAAAGGCTTCTTTTTTTTTCCTCTTTCTTTTCCTCCTCTCTCTTAAG